GTTAAGATGAAAACTGCATCTCTCTCTGGCTGCCTCGAAAACTCCCCATCCTGTTCACACTTTCACCTGCTCCTTTTAAAAAGCACTTCTTAAGGAAGGCTTGGGAATGGCAAGCGTCCCAGCAGGGCACATAAGGATCCAGGGAACTGACTTCAGTTTCTGCTCCCCAGTGCCACTGAACACAGCTGGAGGGAATCAGGGGTAGCCACTAAAATGGAGAGAAGGTGATTTAAATGAGCTCCTACCACCCAGGACTTTTCCTGCTAGTTCTGGAGAAGTTGCTGGTCTGACTGCTGGGAACAGTAGCATGAGGGCTATGACTTGGTATTTGTTTGAGTGTCCAAAGTGAACTGAAATCCTGAGGAGTATTACCTTCTTTGCTTAATAGAACCACATCCCTCTCAGTGCAGGTGAGCATTTTGCTTCATTTACAGTGTGTGGATCAAGTATTGTTTATAGTTATAATTGTTGCCACTCTTCTGTACCTGCTCTTGGGTAATCTTTTAACTTCACATGTTGTTTGAGGTGAGAGCTTTGATTCTTGTCTCAGTTAATGTGTACAAGTTAATTTCTCAACTTCTAGAAAACATACATTGAAAGGCATTCTGTATCTGGCCTGTTTTGTCAATCTCTAATGGCATTGTGCTTTATCAACTGGAGTGCTAAAATCTTCAGGATAGGTGAGATTAATCTTAATTTTAGATATTCAATACTCTGAGGCTGAAGTCTGACCTACTCACCCCGGGCTGCTTGTACAGTCAATGATGAAAATAGGCATCTCCAGAAGGTGATTCATCTCTCTGCCATCTATCTCAGGGGTGAGATGAATTGCCCTCTGGAAGTGCCTGCTTCCTCTCCGTGGCTGTAAAGGGAGCCTAGAGCAATTGGCTCAGAATTAGACACCTAAAAGTTAGACATCTAAGCCCAGGCAGCTGAATCCCCTGCCTGGTGTCTGCCTGGCACTGTTCCTCCATTGCTGTTCAGCTGTACTGAATTTCCCTCCCAATTGTATGCAGCAGAAAACTGATTCCCTATGGGAATTCCCCAACACCTGTTAAAGATTGAAATCACCTTCTCATTCCCTGTCCCTTCTGTGCAGCTGAGATCAAACTGTGAGGTGAATTAGGTGTGCAGTTTGGTGGGAAGGGGGATAAGGTTAACCTTCTGTTTGGGGACCTGTTTTTGTCGTTGGGTGGAAAGCCACAGGTGGCTGTCACTCCCAGTAAGTGACATCCGCACGTTGCTGCATGTGTTTGCCTCGCAAAAATGAAGGCACACTGCAATCTTGATTTTACTTTTCTCCCATTATGTTGCTTTTATCCTCAAGTGCTGGACTGGCTTGGTGGTTTCCGGTGGGAATCATGTCTGTTCTGATAGAGCGCTAGTCTTCGGTTTTCGGAGCAAACGCCACGTTCCAGGCGGGGGGAACAGCAGCGGGTGGGGGGAAGCTGTCCGGAACTGTTCTGCTGCTCCCATCCCCAGAGAAACCTCCCCAGGCAAACTCGCACCAGATCTGATGCCAGTGCTATGCAAAACAGCTGCCAGGTGAACCAAGGAGAGCAGCACAGTCCTTGTCTGCCGTGCTATGGGGAGCCAGCTGAGCTTATCGCTGCCTTTTTCCCCCTGTCCAGAACACCCATAAAGAGGGGAATCAAGGCTTGTTTGATGGAGAAGCTCCCAGCAACTGTGGTGCAAGGGGCTCAAAGCAATCTTTCTCCATGTAAATACCAGGGCTTCCCCAGTTTCATGCAATTTAAGGAGGGGAGGATTGCGTCTAGCAGATGCTGGAGACTTTGGATCCCATTGTGTCTGGCTGGTGTAGCAAGAGGGAAGTTGTTGGCTGACGTGAAGCTCCGTTAAAATTAGTGGAGTTCTGGCACTTTACAGCAGCTGAGAATCTGCTGCCACTTACACTTTTCTTTCTTTTTATCTCCTGGAGCTAGAAAAGATTAAATCTTAAGTGCAGATCCTCGTTGTTTGAACATCCCGTTCCTTTAAGGAGAGAAATGACTACTGCAGTGTGAGTGCTGATGTTGATAGAAACTGTGAGGAAACAGAGTCTATTTTCAAAATATTTGTAGGAAAGTTACAGACTTAACTGAAAGAGGAGAGTTGTTGCACCTATCACACCCAAACCTTGGCTTGCAGCTGGAATCATTTTGATTTTGCTTAAACACAAGCTTTTACTGAAATAGAAAAAGACAAGATTTGTTTGCAAATAAATCTGTGCACAAACACTTACGGGTCCTTCTGAAAGGTTGAAGAGATTTGTGTATCCAGCTCCATTTACATAACCACTGGGAGTAGAAGTCACCTCACCCAGTTTTAAATATCTCGCTATTGGACATCTAAGTCTGAACTAGTTGCCCCTGGGTCCCTTTGTAGTCAATAAAGAGAAATAGTCATCTCCAGAGGGCCATTCATCTCAACTTAAGATAGGCGTCTAAGATAAGTCAGATGAATGGCCTCTGGAGGTGCCTATTTCTCCTTGCTGTCTACCAAGACAGCCTGGGGCAGTTATCTCAGACTTAGACACCCAAGCTACGACTGAGTTAATGTCAATCTCCACGCATATTTGCAGTATGCTCCACTGTCACAAAATACCTGGCTGAGGAGCTCCTGAACACCCCTGTCGATCTGGGGTGAGATGTGCAAGAAAGTAGAGGGCAGGACTTGGAGGAAGCTGTGTCTGGCCTTGTAGGAGAGGAAGGGAAAAAGAAAGGTAGAAGTCTGTCAGTTGCATGTGCTTGTGAAGAACCGAAAAAGTAAGAGATGGGAAGCTTGGAAGAGGAGTAAAGAATATGCTGGAGAACTTGGGCCTGGTGGGGTAGTGATGTGGACTGAAAAGGCTCCATTCCAGCTGTACATCTCAAGTTCCAGGTTTTGGGGTGTATGATAGTGACTCAGAACCATCATCATTGGGACCTAGGGATTTCCCTCAAGGTCTTTGAGTCTTGCATCATCAACATGCTGCACTTGAACATGAGCAAAACTCTCGTATCCAAGAAACTAGAATACTACCTTTTCCTTCCTGTTCTATTTTAGCAACTGAGAACTTTATTTCCTCCTTCTCTCCTCCTTGTCTTTCTTCCCTTTAGCTACTGCCTTTAGATTGCATCAACCCCCCGTGGGTTTCAAAGGTAGAAACTGCAGGCCTTGAAGATCCTCACACAGTCCTGCTCAGGTGTGTGGATAGTGATTGCGATCATCTATTAACACTATCAGCATTCCCATCGTTATATGTGCAGTTGTTGGCTCTTGGGGCGTAGATCTGGAACGCAATGAACGAACAAATTCCTCGGGCGGGAGCAGCTGGAGAGAGGTGGTCAGGGAGCAGATGGTTACAGCTAGAGACATGGGAGCATGGAAGCGCGTGGCAAGTTGGAGGTTTTAGCAGAATAGGGAATTACATGGAAGAAGATAGAGACCTGAGACTGGAAAGAGAAAAAGCTTTGAGAAGCAGGTCAGGAGGAAGACAGGAAGCAAGGGCAGGCTCTAGCACAGCAGAAATGCAGATGGGCTGGGGGACAAGGTGCAGAGCTGGATCTAGGTTGACTTGCAGATGGTGAGAAGATAGAGGAGAATTCAGAGCTGGGGGGCAACAGCTTTTTCTGCTGTGAAATTGTGCTCTGGTATTGTTTGATAGCGAAGACCTACAGCTCAGCCTAACAAGAGTAACAAAGGCAGCTCAGTTTCCACAGTCAATGCTGTTAACATGTTGCAGATTAAATCTCTAGAGCTGTTTCTAGATAGCAGAGACAAGGTGCCATGAAATTGTTATCATTGACTCTAAAATATTTTGCCATCTATGAATAATAGTACCAAGCGTGCTCCCCCTGTGGATCTCAAAGAACAATGCTGATTCACCTGGGAATATTACCTGTATGGTGCAAGCTGAAAAACTGTGTACTAGGTTAGGGCAGAGGTTTGTTCAGTTGAAGAAAGCAAGTCAATGGGAGAGTTGGATTTGCACTCCTGCCTCCACAGCCTGCCTTAAGTGCTTTCCAATTGTTTTGCAAAAGACACACGAACTACTGAAAAATATGATGTGTTGAAGCTTGATCAGATCACAGGGCATGGGCTATGCTTTATGGGGAAAGTTATACTGAAAAAAAACCCCACAAAAAAACAACAGGAGGAGGCAGCCCTGGGGGCTTGTGCTGGTGGGATGTGAACAATTTAACACTATTTATCACCCAACTCAGTTGGACTGGAAGAGAAAGACTTAGGGGATGGATTGCAAAGGGAAAGGAAGGGGTTTCTTGGGGTTGCCTTTGCAACTAAAGAGGCTTCGTGGAATCCCTTAAAGCATTCATATCTGTGTAGCGTACAACCTTTCCTCTGTGATGTTCTTGATGAATTTGGCAGGTGTGATGGGGGGGGGGGGATGTGTATCATCAAAGGGGAATGAGTGAGGGCCTGTGCGGTACCTTCAGGCTGAAACCTGTCTGATTTTTCCCCCTGTGCCTGCCAATCTCTTTTGGAATCAAGGAGACGCCTCTTGAGCACAACCCCACGGCACCCTCTGTTCCTTTAGATATCCCGTAATTACTCAGTGCCACATGGGTTCCTGAAGATCCTTGGTTAACAGCCTCGGCCACCTGTTTGCTAGCCTCTCCCACAGTTAGTTCTTGCTTTTTATGTACAGTGCCTTGGTCCTGGATTTCCCTGGAGACTTGTAAAGTCCTCCAGCTCACCTCTTCTGGAATCTCCCTTGCAGTCAATGAGCTTTCCCCACCCTTACTGCTTGGCAAGGCATCTCCTAGGCAGAAGCACTTCTGTTATACTTCAGCAAAGGCTGATAACACCAAATGTTGCAAAAGCTTCCATTGCTGCATTTACATTGACTCCATCTTCCTCCTCCTCTTCTTGCTCTTACAGTAAACTGAGGTGGGCTAGCTACATGTCTTTGGTTGTGTGTGTTCTAAGTTCTGGAAAGTTTACATAGATGCTGACTGTCATTCTCATGCTGAGATATTTTTCTGCTTGTTTCATTGTAGGAAATGAACAGAATGGGCTGGACTTTAACAGGCAGGTAAGATGCTCCCTGGGTTACCAGGTATTCTCCTGCTTTCTTGAATTACTGTTTTTTAATTGTTCATCTTACTGAGTCCCAGGCAGCTACTGCTAAGAGATAACTGTTAGGTCAGAAGCTATCATTAAAGACACCACATAGATTCTTCCCAACTCCCCTTGTGGGATAGAATGACAGATTAAACTTCTGATTTCCAGGCCTTCCAATTTCATAGAAGTTCAGTTAATTATAGAGTTTCTTTAAATCACCGTTTGCTTGAGGCTTTTTATTTTTTTTCCACTGTCACTCAGAAACAAAAGGGACCTCAGTTACACGGGCAAATGTGCAAATCCCGCCCCAAAGCCCCATACATTTCTACTGCTTGTGACACTGGCGCCGAAAGCACTGCGGTATGCAAGTCTAAGAGCACTGGGCTGACTCACAGGAGTATCAGCAAGGACTGAAGATGAGGTGGTTTGAGGTCTTGGAGTGCATAGGTCAAGACCAGGCCTGCCTACAACAGCAGATTCCTCTTTGCAAGACAGTGGGGAAAGGGACAGCAGATAAAAGCAAGTGCTTCTTGTAGGGCAAGCAAGCCCTAATTGCAAATGAACATGTGAGGGACCGTTGCCTTTGCTGTGTTCGCTGTCATCCTCCTGTTTCATGCAGCTAAAGATAACCACTGTCTCACTGAGTGCCTGGAGATTTTCATATGTGGCTCTAAGAAATCCCTGAATCTCACAGCAGAATTGCAAGAGGAGGAAGGTGACAGCTCTCCAGAGCATATAGATCCTGAATCTGTGCAGACATATGAGAAAATGCTCTCTGAACCCAAACTAAGGACTCCTGTGGCCATCAATGGAGCTGGACTGAGACCTTCTAAAGAAAAAGAAGAGATCTAGAGAGATAACCCACTGATCTGCTGCAGGAGTCCAGGGGCTGGCTGGGGAGATGAAGCAAGGAAAGCAAAAGGGGCTGTAAGGCCACAGGCAGTCACTATCATTTGAAGCAGATGCTGGCACTCCTAACAGTACAGTGACCTACCTGCTTCCAACCATGCATTCTGTGGTTCAAGCTTTGCAATCCTTTGCAAAGGCTTCCTGCTAGCAGCAGGTGGGCAGCTGAAGCTTCTCGCCATGACTTCGCTGTCCTTCAAGCTTGCCTTGGTGGCTCTCGTCTGACAGATGTCAGCGAGCTGCTGTTTGTTTAGCTTGGCTGCTCTAGTTTTGGGTGCACCGTAACTTCCTATCAAAGGTGTCTTAACATGTTCAGCCATCTTCCAGGTTTTTGGAATACCCAGCTAAAAACAAAAAGTCTTATGTCTCCAGCTCTGTGGATTGCAAAACCCAAAGCACAGGCTTTTTACACGCCAGGAGAAGAATCCAATCTGCTTATAGCTAGTGATAAAAGAAAATTCCCTCAAGACAGAAATAAGCTATGAAAGTAAAAGATCGTTACACGTTGCAAACTTTTCCTATGGCAACACCACAAAGATGTTAGAACTGGAAGCTGGGCTGAGGTTAATCAAGGAAACGCTATTGACTGCGGTGAAGCAGTGCTGATTTACACCCACTGATGATTTGACCCATTATCTTTAAGGTCCTAGTCCTCTGCATGCCACGGAATCAGCCGATGCTGGTAAAGTTGTGGGGGCAGACAGCCTTGCAGTTAGTAGGATTTGGGCCAGAGTCTTCTTGACAGAAACATCCTCCTCCCAAAAAGAGACTGTGGAGGCATTCACTTCCCACTTCTGTTTTTCCTCTTCCACCAAAGGGGTACCGCAAAACCCCTTTCATTTGTGCCAGCGTATCTGTTTGTGTAACTGAGTAGCAAACCTGACTGGGGACTTATCAAGGTTTAAGAAGCAAAAGCCTGTGAACAAGTTCATTTTAATGTTGGTTGGGTTTTTTTTTGTTTTTTCTTTTTGTAATCTGATCCGATTCCCCAGAACATAGGTGGTGTCTGCAGAAGGGGTTTTGCAGTGATGTCAGGGATGGGGTTGTAAGAGTCCATGTGAGTGGACACAGGCATGTGCAAATGGCTCTTTGTCTCCCTCTCTTGGCCTTCTCAAGGCCATGTGTATGCTTGAGCCGTTATTGTTATTAATTTAGATGAGCATGAGCCAAAATGCACACGGGTTATACACTCACGTTTCAGGTTGACCTCAGCTATTGGTGAATTCATCTTCAATTCAGCAAAGAGATTTCAAATTATGAGAAAAAGGAAGAAGGGAGATATGAAAATATCAAAGTGTTTTCATGTAAAATCAGATGCTGAGCTCTTTCATTAGGGGTGGAGGTTGGTGGGATTTTAATTTTGGTTTGGGGTTTGAGGTTGGTTTTGGGTGGCTTTTTTTTTTTTTTTTTTGTTTTGTTACCTTGCAATTCAAGTTTTCAAACTGAAGCCAGAGAAGTATGGTTTGAAACCCAACTCCAAACTGAATGCAAGAGCTGCTGAGCTCTCTTTGACTTTATTTGGAGTGCTGGGCGCTAATCACTTTGAAGATCATAAATCTCACATCATTTAAGCCTCTCCCCCAGTCTTTGTAGATGGCCTACATTTCAGGTCTGTTTCCCTCCCATGTTATGCTCCAGGCGGGAAGAGAAGGGTGGAGTGACCTGGTTAGACCCCTTTACTTGCCTACAAATTCCCTGCTGTGGCTGCTCTCACCCTGAAAATGGGGAGGAGGGAAACTCTTGTGGAGTTTGAGGTTTTCTTGCAGTTTGTGGGTCAGCCCTGCGCTTTATGAGAAAGCTGCCTTCTGATCCCTCAACCTATTTGGCAAACGTTTCTCTCCCCCCCCCCAAACTCTCCTCCCACCTGGATGCAACAGTAATTTGTATGTGAATGAGCGGGAAAAGGGTGTGTATGGAAAAAGAAGCATCTTCTGCCTTGCCTATCTGGTTTGGCTTTTTATTTAGTGAGTCTAATGCTGGTTGTTTCCTGTTTATATCAAGGGAAATGCAAAGAGACAGTAATAAACTTTCACCTTCGGTGCTGGCAACCTGGATAGGGACATCTGCTTCTTGATGGTTTGGGATAATGTCCAGAACATTTCAGGGACAGAACTGAGTAACTCTGCAAATGTGGCTTCAGAGTCTTGCCATGAAAGGGCATTGAGTGGGACCAGGAGAAGGTCTAGCTGGAAGTGCTGAAATCAGAACTTTAACTCACTGTGATGTGGTGATCCTCACTAGGCGATGCTGCTGTGGTCTTACCAGGTCTTGTTTGGGTTATTTCCCCATTGGTATACACAGTGTTCAGCCTTTAAGGAAGTACTGCATTGTTTGTTTTTGTAGATGGCTCTGAAGAGAGCTGTTCTAGAGAGCCAGGTAGCTCACCCTGTGTCTGGAGTTAATCCCTGAGATAATATTGCCTTCTGGAATACACACATGGACCTAGGGCTGATGATTTTGGGAGACGACAGGGCTTGTGTGCATGGTGTGAGTGTTGTAGCCCAGCACATAGTGCTGTGCATCTATCTACAGTTGGAGGAGGAAAAAACACAGATGCTGAATCACTGATTTCTTTTCAATTAGGAAAAGGATGTGTAGCACCCTGTCATCTGTTGATCCTCGCAGCAATGCAGTCTCTGAGTGCTCAGATCTCCTCTCCTTACAGAGGAGGGAATGAGAGATCCTCTCCAAGCTCCTTCATGGTCTCAAGCACTGAGCTGTACTCCAGTGCTGGGAAAGAATATGTCTCTTGAAATGCAACTGAAAGGTTATGTGTGACCAGTGCAGGAAAGGCTTAGCAGGATCTGAATGTGATTTGTATCCACATATGTCATGCAGTTTCATTCCAGCAAAAGGCTAACCCTTGCAGACAGGCTGTCATTTGTTTAATGATAATGACAGGTTTGATATTCGTATCAGTGTAAAGATGATCCTGCCGTCAGACTTTGCAATATTTAAGGCAGAGAAGCAGGCACTATAGTGTGTTTGAGCGTCCCAGGGCTCAACACAGCTTGAGTTTTCCTGTTGGTTCTTTACTCCTATTACTTTATTTTCTCTGCTTTACATCAATCAGGGGATGTAATAAGGATATATATCTCTTTCCAACAGGCTTCCTAGAAATAGGATCTTGGGATGGATTTACCTGGGAAAAGGAGATAGCTTGGAGATGTATTGCTTCAGAGCACAAAGGGAAGCATCTAGAACAAAACAAGGAAATAAGATATGCAATTGAAATGGCTTCGTATTTCATTTGCACATTGGGTTATAGACATTGCCATTTTGACTCTCGCACATGACTGGAAGGGACACATTTCAAAACCCCTCCCTTCCAGTGGTCAGTCAGTATTAAATAATTGAGCTGCTTAAGATTCCCAGTCAGTAGGACCTGAGTAGACTTTTTTTGGCCAATAGTGTGTCTGCTAGTATATCAACAAAGAGCAGCGAGGGATTGAGTCCATTGAAAAATTCCTCCCTTCCAAAACCAAGTGAAGCCTCGTGTGTGTTACTGCCCTGCTCTTTGCAAGAAGTGCCAAGTTCCTCCCTTGGGACTTCCTTACCTAACTCATCTCCCTGTGCTGTTCGTATCTGACAGAGTAATTGTCCAAGGGAACTTCAATTTTTGAGGGTTTATGTGGGGTTTTCAACAGTTATTTTGAGGTCATAATCTGAGCTATCTCAGGTCTTCACAGCTAATGTCCTTCAGACACATGATATAAGAAATTAAAGTGGGCAAGCGGCATCTGAGATCTAAAATCACTGTGGCTCTTTTTCAGTGCCATTAATAACACTCTGACCTTGTTTGGTACTTTCCACCCACATGTCTGAAGGTACTTTGCTAATGCACTTAGCACCCAGGTGCCTCTGGAAGGTAGGGAGGTGTTTAACTCTGTCCCTTACAGATGAGGCAGACACAGACTGACTACCTGGCTTTTCCCAAAGATGCTGAGCACCGTGATTGCACCTGAAATCAGTGGATGCTTTATAGGACAGTTGCCTGTGGACACTGAGGTGTATTGTAATCCAGGGACCTGCTCCCTGTCAGAGCTGGGATACGGACTCCAATTC